CGCGAGTTGGCAGCATCTTTCCCGGGCCCCCCGGGCTGCGGCGTCTCCGGGATGCCCAGGCTGGGATCTCTCCCCGAGACCCAGCTGGGCAGTGCGGTTCGAGCTGGAGGCCGGGCCCAGGGAACCAAAGCGAAAGGGTAGAGGCCTCCTTTATCTTACAAACCCTCTGCCCAGCAAACCTCGACCCTGCGGGAACCGCAGTCGGCCACAGCCCCCTTCCCTCGCGAGTCCCCGGCCGGCGCCCGCGGGGCGGCGAGGAAGCAGGAAAGTTGGATTTCGCCTCCTCGCGTCCGCCCGTACAGCGGCCGCCGCGCCCCGGGTCCGCACCGGGAGGCCCCGCCGGAGGATGGTCACCCTGGCGGAGCCCCAGCCGACCTCTGCCGGCGGGCCCGGCCTGCAACGCGTTTCCGCACTCGCGCCCTCTGCAGCGCGGCCCCCGCCTCTTCCTCCCGCGACAGCCGCGGGTCCTACAGCCGGCGCTCTGGGCCCTGCATCCCCCGCGCCTCCTTGACGGCCTTGCCTAGCCATTCACCGCGGGAGGCTCGCGTGTTTCCAATCCGAACGTCGACCTGACCCCAACCCCAACTGATTCCCAGCGCCCCTTCCCCCGTTAGCTGGGCGTTAGACCGCGAAGCCGTTGTCGGAGTTCGAGAACTCTGGACTCGGCTCTCATCCCCCAGCTCTCAGCCGCCCCCCACCCCAGCTGGAGCGCACTGGCCTGAGCGAATGAATGCTTTCTTGGCACTTTAGCTTTAAATACCCACATTCTTCTTCCCCTTAGGCTCCAACACCCCGATCAACCCTGAACGTAGTTAGGTGCCTGCCAAAGCCAGCGCCGTCGAGCGTGGAGACCCCCGCCCAGCACGCGACAGGAACCGCAGGCGTCCCGCTTTGCGGCGTCCGCGAACCTCCGGCTCCAAGGCTTGTATAGGAACCGCACCTGAGGGGTGTGTGGGCCGCGTCCTCCATGGTCTTGGTCCAGATGCGGTCCTGATGGGCTCTAGGGGTCGTTTCCTACCTGGAACCTTCCATTTTTGGCTCTCGTGTCGCGTACTAGAAATTGTTGGGAAAGGAGTAATGTCTACCTTCTCTGAGACAAGTCCACCAACGCCAAGATTTTAAAGCTAAACTGCTAGGAAAGCATTCGCTCAGGCGGGCGCGCTCCAGGGTAGGTGGGCGAGAGTGAAGCGACCGACTGACTTCTATGGCAGGGCGCTTAGGGTTTTCTATCTAGTGAAGCAGAAGCATGGTTTGGGTACAATTTTTAATTACTTACTGAGACAACTCACTAATGTCTTCAAAAAGATGTTCACATAACACACACACACCAAGCAGCAATAATTTGTAATTGCCTTAGAAAATGTTATACTGTATTTCAGACTTCTACAGCAAAAGCATCCATTTTTAGTATCAGTCACCTTATGTTATGTAGTGCCTTTTGGAGGCGAAATTATTCGTGTGTGGAATCACACTAATCATGGCTTTCTTTGGAGGTGAAAGAGTTGAGTTCAATCTCTGCATCCACTGAATTAGTGGAAAGGAAAACATGTGAAGGTATATCTTTGGAACTTTGGGACCAGCTAAATCACTGTCATCTTAGCATTCTATTGGCTTTAACACCAAAAAGAAACATAAAATTTTAAGTTTAAAATGTAAGGAGTAGACCTTTTAAGAGGTTTGGAAAGGAAAGAATAGGAAATAAAGATATAAACACAATGAACACATAGAAATGTTAATCTTCTCCTTCACAGAAGTGTCTGAATATCTTCTGTTCTGCTAACAAATTTGACGACACAACTGGATGGTATGTTCAGACCTAGATGTAAAATCCTAAGGTTATTTCCAATAGGAGGGGCAATGCAAGATTTAAGATAGTCATATGTTTGCTTTCATCACTATAGATAATGTTTTGTTTGCACTAGCTTGGTTATGGAGTACATAATGCCCTTATTTTTTAATTCAAGTATGTAAATACTGAGTTATTTCAAAACTTTTAGACTTGGTATTGGCAAAGTGATTATTGTATTCTCATAACTCGAATAATTACATGCAATTTCCAGCTGAATCACTTTTTAAGTGCTAACATGTTTTAATTCTTTGGGGGTAGGGGAAGAGATTCAGATCTAGATAAAATTCAGCTAATTTTTGTTTAAAAACAAGAAGACTTTTACTATAGAAATGATGTTTTAGATTTTCTCACCTCTTCCCACAGGTTACCCTGAGTCCCTCGTCTTTGCTCCCGAAGCACTGACAGCACTTAGGGCAATTACAGCCCTTAACTCAGTGGCAGGTGTTCAGTACATGCTCATTGAATGAATTAATAATTTCTTTACTGTCTATCTCCTAGTAGACTTCATGTCCTGGAGGGCAGGCACATTCTGTTACTAGCAAAGGGTCTGGAACACATTGATATTAAATATGTGTTTGGCTTGGTGAAGGGATAACACACACACACACACTTGCTTCACCTCAACAGCAGTTTTTAAAACATAGATGTAATATCTAATTTGCACATTTAAAGCTTTAACTTCTAAAATTTAGCTAGGAGCTGAAGGAAAAAACAAAACAAAACACCTATTTGTTAAAAGTAGCAGTTTCTTTTAGGCATATGCAGAATATATTCCCATAATGGGATTTTGTGAATTCCCAACAGAGATTTTTAAAGAGAAACAAGACAGGATTTTTAAACTGGCTTTATGTTGATGTCTTTTTCAGTCTCCTTTGCATAAATAAAGAATTAAATGCAAAAGTGTTTTTGAAGACAAATATTTTGATTAGCTTTTAACTAAAGGAGCCAAATCTTCCAAATAAATCTCTACTGGAAATACTTTTTCAAGTTGTTCAGGGAATATGCCATTGTTTCATTCTCAATCAAATGTATACTTTAATGTGCCAAGCACATTGTGTACCTGTATTTAATGTCAGCTGATACTTTAAGAACAGTAATCTTACACTTTTTTTTTAACTGAAGCATCCTTTTGCCTTGTTTTCTTTTGCACTGCTTAACTGTTAGTTTAAAGGTATGTATGTGACCATGAGGCATTAATTTAACTTGATAAAAAAGAATGGAACTATGTTTTAAAGTTAGTAAGTTCAAAAGTGGGTCAGAAGATATAAAATGGCTTTCTCACCAGTAAAAGTAATTTGTTAGCCATACTTTATATTTGAATTCTAGCAACTTCATTTATATGTATATTATGATCATTTTGTTACATTTCTCATTTAATTTTAAAGACTTACAAAAAAGAAAGCTAGAATAAAGAGCAAAGATATGTCTTTAATATGTCCAGTTTCAGATATGAAGTAGGCATCCTATATTGTGTTTCATCAGAAGAACACAAATTATTCCATGGCAGATACTCAAACTCTATAGTTAAAAATAACTTATATAGCATTTGAACTTAAGTTTTAAAACTTTTATAGCATTCCATAAGTAGAGTGTTCTGTTATGTTTATAGGTTTAGACCTTTCTTTTTTCACTATTGAGGTCTTATCTCAACACTTTTAAAGTAGGAAATAGTAAAGCAATTACTAAAAATGGCTTAGGAGTTTGAGTTGTTTATTTAAGGACTGAAACCAAATATGCAACCTTTTAGTTTTAAGGGGATTTCTTTTCATAATGCAACAAGGAACTGAAAATAAAATTACAATGGTTTATTTGCAATCTTATTTATTCAGTCTGTCCCCCCCCCCCATATCTCTAAATGGGGACACACAACAATTTTAATTTTAAAGGACTTATTCCCTTACGGAAAGGTAGAGATCATTGTGAAACTTATGTCTTGAAGTTAAGTGATTGTGGGTATTACTGGCTTCTGAACCGCGGAAGCAAAAGACATGCACCTGCTCTGGGGGTGGCAGGGAACACACTTATTCTTCCCTCTGGTTGTTGGTCCATTCTCCAACTCTTTGGAGCTCCACAAAATACAGGACTTCATCAGGGTGAGATCTCAAAGATTATTATACAGAACTCACCTCAACTCATCTTGCTAAGTTTATATGCTCTCTTCTGTTGAAGAAGAGATGTCAAGAGGTCTCCTGTCTTGGCACTACTCAGCAACAGATGTGACTATATACTGACTTGACACGTGGTGAAATTGTAGTTTCTGGTAGAAAAGCATTTAAAGTTGACACCTGTCACTGAAATATTTGGTATATAGTTTTCAAAGGTAAGCTAGAAGCCCCTGATAGACTAAATACTTCGTGAAAAGACACTGAGTAAAGAGTTACATGACCTAGGGAAGTCTGTTTAAAATAATTTTAATCAAGATTTTCCAGGTAAAGATTCTCTCTCCTTCTGTTTTGGAAATTTCAACAAGTAAAATGAAGCTTAAATTTAAAAGACAAAAAGTTTGAAAATCACAAAAAAGTGAGCAAACAGTAAAGTTAGTAGTCATTAGGAGAAAGGTAAGGCAGACAGAGCATTTGTCATGTTGTTTCCTTGTCTGCTTTTCTCATTGAATCCCTAGGAGTGCTTATCAAATGCTTTCAATACAGTATAATTAAGTGTATGAACATCGTTGTCTTGACCCTCCAGGAATCTAGAAGCCAGCAATTCCAGGTGTATTAAAAACTGGATTAAAAAGGAAAACACTCCACAGGTTGCATGAATAATAATGTACTTATCAAATTACACAACAACACGTGTGAGATTTCTCTTGTCTGTCGAAGCAAAGACAATTTGCGTGATGCAGGATACTTGTCTTGCCGCACTTCAATCATACTCTCTCCGCGCACTGGGTAACCGCCTGGACCCAGCCCGCGCCGCAGTCAGGAAATAACGCTGATCTGGGTTCGGTTTGTGAAGCACTCCCTATTGATGCAGTGCTTCTGTAAAGCGCCTTCCTGGCGTGGAGAAAGACCCTCGACGGTGCACAGCAGAGGCAGCGGTTTGGCAGATTCCCCCGGCGTTGGCCGTTTTCGCGTCGCCACCCGGCTTGGGGCGCCCAGGCACCGAAGCCGTGACGTCACGGCGGAGACGGGCCGTTGCCGCGAGACGGCCGCGTTCCGGTTCCGGTCGGTTGCCCTGGAGACGCGGATACACAGAGAAACGGATCTCCTCTGAGGCTGAGCCGTCCCGGTGGCCGCTCTCTCCTTGGACTCGCAGGCTGTGTGCCGACGAGCTGGTGTCGCCGCCGAGTTTCTCGAGGGCAGAGCGCGGCTACGGACGCCATGAGCCAGAGGCAGGTGCTGCAAGGTAGGGCCTGGGGCTGGCGGGGCGCCTTGACGGGCTGGCGGCTGGGGCGGCGGGAGCAGCGAGGGCGACAGGGGCAACGCGGTCGATCCACTCCTCTGTGTCTTTGCCCAGCAGTGTTCGAGCAATACCAGAAAGCTCGGACCCAGTTCGTGCAGATGGTGGCGGAGCTGGCGACCAGACCCCAAAACATCGAGACGCTGCAGAACGCGGGTGAGCCCCTCACCCCGAATCCAGTTCGCTCCGCACACCGGCTCCGCGTTGCCGCGTGCCTCTGACCTCGCCTCGCTCGGAGTCCCCGAACCCACGCCCCTTTGTCGCCCCTCATTCCGTATCCCCCGCCCCTGATTGCTCCGGGTCCCCGGTCCCACGCCTCGTCCTGGCCCCTTGCTCGCCCGCGTCCCTGCGGGCTCAACTGTTAGGGAGGGGTAGGAAGGGTGGCGGGACGGCGTCCCTAAGTTTCTCCAACCACTTCGAAGGCTGTAGGAACGTTCAGTCTCTTCAGCGGGTCTTTTGCACGTGAGGCCAAGAGGATAAAGCTTCCAGATTGGTGTGAGAAGGGCCGCAAGTCTCTATCTATACTGCAATCAGACAAGTGTCAGGTTGAAAGTTAATGCGGTACGAATTGCTTGAAAGTTATTTTACGTGAATGGGAATATACCCAAATCAGACCCATTTTGTCTGGGTGCAGTTGTATGTCACCCTGCCTTTGATCACCTTCGACTTCCTCACAGCAGAGGAATTCCAATGTGGTTGACACATTATTTCTCATTCTGAGTTAGTGAAAGAGGAATGATATGCTTGAATCTTTTGCAAGCGATTCAGAGTAGGTAAAGAACTGGCTTTGAGAAATCCCATGGTGCTCTCATTTCATCCCTCAGTCCGAACTTGTCTAGATTCCTTAGTTGGTGTGTGTGTGGTTTGAATCTTAAGTATTAACATAAATGGACTGAGAAAGTAATAGTGGAAATATATATGATTAAGGATAACTTCTACCATCTGAATTCAAAGTAAGGTAACATTTTATGGCTACTGTGTCATGAGAAATTTTCAGTTTATAGGATGCTATTTTAAAAATGTATTAAATTAGCATAAAGTTAAAAGAAAATTAAGACATATTTACAGGGCAAGAATGTTTAGACATAATGTTTCCTCTGGGTTTCTTTGAGGAAATTACTACTGCACCTGTGTGCTAATCTGTTTTGTCACTGGAATTTTGCTGTCTATTTCCTGTGTGTTTTAACGGGGGAGTGGGGGAAGGTGGTACGCGGGCTGTATTTAGAATGGAGGAAGTGTATTTGATTTTATTTAAATCTCCTACTCAGAGACCTTTGTGAATGGATACTTACTATTTACAAATCTTTAATTTCTGGACAATATGTTTACACTTGAACTAAAACATTGTCTTTAGAAAGCTGATAACTACAAGGGAGAATGATTACTGCTCTTTCAAAAATTTAATATGGAAACATTAAGATATAGATAACATTTAGGGTATAGAGTAATCCTATTCCCGTAAGTGTACAATGTAGACTGTATTATGGAATTTAAATCAAACCAAATTGTTCAGGCTGCGTGACTATCAGTGTAAAAGTGACTTAGATATGACATTCTTAAATAGCCAGCTATTTCCACTTATGGCCTGGCCTATGAAGGAATGGACTAGAAAGAGAATATAACTTAGTGATTTGAAATTATCTGCACTTGATTTGATGGCATGCTAAGATTTTTCTTTTCTTGAGGAACTTAATATTTCATGTTACTGAGATTCAATTTAAGTGTTCCTTTAGTGATTTTAAATAGAGACAGATAATGAATATCCCAATAGACTTTTAATTAAAAAACTAACCTGTAAGTTTTGTTATGAAAACTTTTCTTTCTTAATAATCGCTTAATTTAATGATTCAATTGATTTGTTCTTTAAAGAAACATCGTGGATTTAAAATCGTTTTCAAATGAGCTACAGTATGTGTGTATCTATTATATATTATGATTAAGATTTTTTTTTTCAGGCAGGTGCTTTCATTTTGGTATCATAAGATATTGATACATTTTACTCCTTACTTAAACATTCTGTCCACATATCTGGGAAGATTTTCTTTTGTTGTTATTTTCTCACTTTCTGTGCCCTAATAAATTACTTAAATACAATATGTATCATAGATTCAAGCTAATGTGAAAAACATTTTCCACAGTGATCAATAGTTCGGTTGTTAAGAATTCATTTCAGTGTGAAAAAAATTAAAGGTGAAAATTATTAACGGAATTTTATTTCATTTTTAATCTCTGATCCTTTTCATTGCATTTTGATGTGCTAACAAGAGAATTTGCCATATTAAACATGTCCAAAAGAATTACCACAGCAAACTTAAAATGTTGGAAAATCTTTTCTTCAGAGTTTTTGTGCAAGAATGAACTTAATTTTTAATCAAAATTGTTACTAGAAAGAACAGTGTGCAATGTGTTTATAATCTTGGTGTTTTTTTTTTTCTTTATTAAGTTCAGGTTTTATTCATCCTAGAGCAAAAGAACGTAAATAAAAACATTTAAAAGTTTAATGTTTGTTATAAAATCTTTTTATGTACCCTCAAACCCTGTATGTTTGAACCATTGTTACATCTTGCAGCTGTTTAAGAATGAATTTTGATACTTCCCCTGTTTGAATAATCAGTAACATATGACCGTATTAGAAGAGATAATACATTGTTACTTCTACCAATTGTAGAATTTCAGCAATTGGAGGTGGTTGGTTAGTTATAAAATATAAGAAAGGTGTTTTGTGGCGTATTGGAATACCACACCACTCTTACGTCTGTTTAGGAGGGCTGCTTCTAAAATAAGCTAATAAAATCTGCAAGAAATTATTTTTAAACTGCTTAGCTATATAAAATAAACTCCTTAATCAGCTATTTATATAAGAGAATTGAGATAAAGTTTAAAATGATACTCTAATATTTTACATATACTGTAGTAAAACTGAAACGGCAAATTGTAGTTATGCACATTTTCAGAAGAGTAGGAAGAGAAGTTTGTATAACACTTTTAAGTATACATCCAATTGAAGCTAACTTGGAGACTGAGGCAATTTAATGGGTTCAGGATTCAAGAAAATAACTAATATATATTGTTGATATAAAATTATTTTAAATTACATTTGTCCAGAACAGGGTAAAAATCCTCAGATTAACTATATAGCATTTCAATATTCTATGAGAAGGGAAACCTCCTAGTAAGCATTTATAATATACTTCAAACATATGCTGGCATAAACCATAATTCTCTTACAAAAACTATTGTTCCAAAGGATATTGAAAATGAAAAGAAAATTAGCAGAGCAACTTTAAAAACTTTAATAAATCATGCTGTAATAATCTGATGTATTTGGCAGTATGAGAGGCATCTTAGAGTTATAAATGTAAAAGTTAATTAGCTCAAAACATTGATTTAAAAAACAGGGATAGAGAGGTTTGCTACATATGTTTAAGTGGAAAATCTGCCAGGGAGCTATAAAAATTCTGAACTGTATGGACCTAACATTATGTCCTAAAAACATTATTGAGAATTTTATTCTGTGCTCCCAACTATTGTTCCTACGTGGACATTTATCTGATTTGTTATCTAAGAATTGGTACATAAATAGAAAATAATAGAGAGAGGGCTAGGGTCTCATTGCTTTTTTAGGAAAACTAGACAGTTAAAAAAAAAAAAATCTGAGCTATAGATGAGCCTGTAAGAGGATGTGGCTTAGAAGTAGCAAATTTTGTCGGTTAAAATTTAATGTTACACATTTAATGTTTTTGAAAAGTTATTTTTATTTTAGTACGTCATTATCCCACCTTACATATGAATGCTGCTACAGGGCCTTTGCACCTCTGCCTCAATCCTTTTTATACACTTCTTTGTCTAACTAATTTGTATTCATTCTTTATGGCTCTGTTTAGATGTTGATTCCTCAGGGAAACCTTTCCTAAGCCCTCACAGTAAATTAAGTCTTTAGATTATGCTTTCCTTGCTCTTGGTATTTCTCTCTCATAGTACTTACCACAGTTGTAATTAATTATTTAGTACTGTTTCTCCACTAGCTATAAATTCCATGCCTAGCAGAATGCTTAGCATGTTGTAGATGTTCAAAATGTTTAAATATAGACTGAAGGAAGGGGTAAATATTTCTCTAAGTGTTTTCATATATTTTAAAAAATTAGATTCTTACAACAGCTCAGGTAGTAGATAAGGTATCTTCTTCAGTGTGGATACTTAAGCTCAAAGAAGCTTGGATAATTGTCTTCATCACAAAGTGAGTTAATGGCCAAACTGGGACTAGAACCCAAGTTTCTTAATTGCTTCCTGGTCTTGCGCTTTATCTACTCTATCTTGTAGGTATTAGTAAGCCATTTATTCTAGGAATTTCTAATAAACTCTATTGACTATTGAAACAAGCCTACTGTTTAGGCCTTTGGGTAGCGTGGCTGTCTTATAATTGTGAAATCTGGTGGCTTTTGAGGTATCCTAGAGGACCATTATGGGAGTTTGAGTGGAGGCCATGTGTGGAGGATAACTTAGTTGATAAATACCTGGAAGATTGAAGGAGTGGGAGAAGTATTTTGGGCTTAAGCTGGCCCTAGAGCTCCAAAGGACCTTTAGGCTTCCTTTAGCTTCTTAGAATTATCAAACCAGGAGCTCTTTAAAATCACTCAGGAAAAAGTCTATAATCCACTGGAAGTTCAGAATCAGTATGGCACTTCAGAGAATTGTTGGGCTGAGAATCTGGCTGGAATCAAGGAGAGTCCAGAGGAGACTTATTTAGAGCCTAGGACGGTAAACTGCCCTGTAACTGACTGACTGTTCTGGGCATCGAGAACATGTGAGGTAAAGCTCCATAAAGGTAGAGGCACTTGGTATTTGTTGGTTAATTGATATGAGTGTATACTTAACACTTCTTCCCTTTGTTATCCCCCTCACCCCCCATGGCTGATACTATTTATTTTATGGGCCAATCTGTCATTTGGCTGAAAGGTGACCTCTGGGAGTGGTTTGAGTTCCAAGTTTAAAGAGTATCTCAGGGCCGTAGTCTTGGGGGTTTCTCTAGTCTCTATTGGTCCAGTGGGTCTGGCCTTTTTTTTTTTAGGAATTTGAGTTTTGTTTTACATTTTTCTCCCATTCTATCCAGGACCATCTATTGGGTCCCTGGTTGGTATTGTTGATAGTGGTAGCCA